ATATGTTTCTTTATTTAGAAATATATATATATTTACATATATATTTATATATATTTATTTTATTTAAATAAATTAAATTTTTATAGTAATTTTTTTAGTTGGACAGGGATTCGTTAAAAAAATCTCGTTGGAATTTTCATGCCTGTAGCGTGTGGAGGAACGATAACGGGGCTGACGCACGGGGCCATCAACTCCCCGGGGTACCCGGGGCGGTACCCCCACGACCGAGATTGCACCTGGATCGTCTCGGTCCCGCTCAACATGAGGCTTCAGCTCGTTTTCGCGACGCTTCGAATCGAGCATCATGCCAATTGCAGCTACGATTTTATCCAGGTGACGGAGGGGCGCTGAATAAGTTAGAATTAAATCAAATGAAGGTAGCCGTTTGTGGGTGGTGAAATTGATTTAAAATGGATGCAGGTGAGACGAAGGAAAATATGAAGGAAAAATCTGGTTTTTGGAAGGAAAAAGAAACGAAATCGGTGGGAAAAAGCGAGAAAATAATTATTTTGCTTTTACTTCCGTGTAAAAATCTGAAAATCGTCTTAAAATTTTTTTTCCCGTGAAGATCCGGGACGGAGTGAACGAGCACAGCCACGTCCTGAGCACCATCTGCGGGACACCGGAGCACCTCCCGGCGCCCCTGAGCACCTCGGGCCCCCACGCCTGGATCTACTTCCACAGCGACGGATACGAGAACGACATGGGGTTCCACGTGTCGTGGCTGACGGTGCCGGGGATCCCGGGGTGCGGGGGGCTGCTGACGCAGGCGAGGGGGGGGTTCGCGCCGCCGTCCAGGACGGATTTGCAGAATCTTGTTGCGAGTTATGAGCATAATTTGGACTGTGAGTGGGTGGTGAGGGCGCCGATGGGGGAGAGGGTGAGGTTGACCTTCGCGAGTTTTCGTCTGGAGGGGTCGGCTGCCTGCTTCTTCGATTATGTTGAGGTGAGTTTCGTTTTTTTTTCATAAATTTTTTTTTTTTTACGTTGGTGTTTTGAATCGTCGTTCCAGAGTGAGTTTGGGAGTTGTTAAAAAAAAGGTCAAGAATTCGTGATGTTGGAGTAATTGTTTGGGAAGAGAGAGAGAGAGAGAGAGTTGCACAGAAAGGAGGAAGACGTGGACAGAAAGTGAAATAAAATGAGTATTTTCTGCCACGATGGGAGTCCTTAGCGCATCCAGAGACGAGCCGAAATTCCTCGTCGCGTTCAGAAATTTTGGAATGCGAGGCGGTTGGCACATTTTCAAGTGAAGCGTGGATATATCGACGAAGCATAAAAAAGAGATCGCGTGAAATAGATGAAAGTTCATCAGAGTTCGATTATTAAAAAAAAAAATTCTTTACGACGTGCGAAATGTCCGTGTCACAGGTGCGAGAGGGATCGAGCCCCGACGGCCCCCTGGTGTACAGGCGATGCGGGGACGACCTCCCCCCGAGCCACATCTCCAGGGGGAACGAGCTCCTCGTCCACTTCCACTCCGACTACTCGGTCGCGCATGAGGGGTTCCAGGCTCACTACGAAATCGGTCTGTGCTTCGTTTTATC